CAGGATAAAGAGGATCGAGTGGTCAGGCTTGCTGACTTGGTAGATCCATGTCATCATATCCCAGTTGCAGTAGAGTAGTGCAATCACTGGATTGTCTGGTCCAGACTTGATACTTACATCATGCCATCATGCAGCTGAAATATTGCCAGGTGAGGCAAATTGTTTCCTTGTAACTGAACATTTGACTCCTACACATTGTTGGTACTACAAGATCACACAGTTGCAAACAAGTCTTCAACCAGGAGTCAAAAGTGTTTTCTGAAGTCACAGCTGTTAATTGTACTGGGCATGTAACACTTTGAGATAGAGAGAGTGTGAGAGAGAGAAAGTGTTCATTGCTGATGAGGGGGAAGCACTTATTGATCAGCTGCCCAGTAATTTCTGGATCAAATACTCCCCTACAATTATCTTTGTCTATTGATTGTGCAAATTGAATTTGTGGTACAATTGATCCAAGTGGTGGTTACTTTGAAGAGATCCTGGTGTACCATTCTACAGACATAAAATGTAATGTGTTAGCATGTTGTTCAGATGACTATCAGTTGATGCTGGGGGTTATGGGCTGCAGCCTGGCGGCGGGGGGAGTGCCAAGGTGTCCATTGACCATTGGAAGGGCAGGTTATGTGGAGGTTGTAGCTTTTGTAGGTTGTGAGGAGGATTTAGATTGCGATGAAGGTTGAAGGTTGTGTTTGGCTTCTAGGTGGAGATTGAGGTTCTAGATTGGGATGGAGGCTGAAGGATGATGTTGTAGGTGGTGCTGAGGTTGTAAGTGGAGATGTGTGTTATAGGTTGTGTGGAGGTTGTAGGTTGGGATGGAAGGTGGAGGTTGTGAGTGGGGTTGTTGGTTGTCTAAGGGTTGTGTGGAGGTTGTAGGTGGGGTTGAAGTTTGAGACTGTGTGGGGTTGAGGTTTGAGGTTGCGATTGAGGTTGGAGGTTATGTAGAGATTGTAGGTGAGGATGGAGGTTGTGAGGAGTTTGTAGGTGGAGTTGAGGTTGTAGGGCGTGTGGAAGCTGTATGTTAAGTGGCGGTGGGAGATGCAGATTGTAGGTAGGGTGGTTACTTGCTGCAATGGTTGGGCAAGAGGCAGTTGGTGCAGGGTGGCTCAGCTGTACAGTATTGCGGACAGAATGGGAGGTTTGAGCTGGTGTAGAGAATGGGCAGCAGCACCAAGGGACTCAAAGAGAAGCCTGAACACACTGCCACTGTTTCCTGATCCTCTCAGACTGGGGAATCCCCTCTAATTACCTCAGCATTACACAACAATATGGGCAGGTGGTCCAGGGATTGTTTTTTGCTGTGGGATATGTCTGCCTTGTCTTTGGTGCTTGAATTATGTGCAATAAGCAGACTTGTGTGATGTAGTAGGATCCTTTTTAGAATAGTTCTTAGGAAAGGTGATGTCTTCTGCTTACTTTTAGGAAATGGTTTATGTAGTTTGACCTTACTTAAAGAACCATATACTGGCAATGATTAATGTCCCATATGTTAAATCTCAGAAAGTGAGTGAATTACCGGAACGTTTCAATAGGTCATGATGTCTATCTTAGTGACGTCTGCTCATCAGTGTCTAGCTATTTCAGGATGCTGGACAAAGGATAAGGATCTGTACAGAAACATGGCTATTTCAATCAAACTAAAATGTTGTTGTTCATAAAGTGTGTCCGCTTTGTCATCTGTCAACTTCTCAGAAAAAACAAACAAACAATTGACCTGTATCAGGTCGTCCTGGAGATGAGGTTGTAGGTTGTAGTTCAAATGGAGGTTGTAGTTGGGAATGGAGGTTGTAGATTGTGTGGAAGTTGTAGCTGAATATATTGTGTCTTACTGAGCCTGTCATCCATCCACTTCTAGAAAACCTTACACATATTCTCTATAATACTAAGATCCTACTTTGTGCTGGATTCATCAGAGTTCATATATCAATGTTTAAAGTTGTCCACTGATTGGCCAGATTTCAAACGTGGCATGGCTCAAGACAGAGTCTCCCTAACAGGCCTGGTTACTACTTAGAAAATGGCAAACAAAACACAATTTAATATACTAGTCAGTGTGTATTAACCATCCCCTGAGGTGTTCCGACACCCTGATGCAATACACAACCCAGGCCGATCTGACCTTATATTTTAATCACCCCAATGAAGTTGGGTCCCTATGGCTCATCAGATTTCCATCCAAATGTATACTTTTTGGTCTCACCCCATCACCATCTGCGTTTCATCACCAGAACACCCGTGAAGGTCTGGGTTAGAATTGGCCTTCAGTAATCCATGCTTGTCATAAGAGGCGACTAACGGGATCGGGTGGTCAGACTCGCTGACTTGGTTGACACATGTCATCGGTTCCCAATTGTGCAGATCGATGCTCATGCTGTTGATCAGTGGATTGTCTGGTCCAGACTATTAATTACAGATCGCCGCCATATAACTGGAATACTGCTGAGAGCAGAATAAAACTAAACTCACTCACTCATTCATCACCAGAAACATTTTGATCAACTGAGAAAATGAGCAGTTCATTGAAGTCAGGCTTGGCTAAAGTGCAACATGTTCTAATTATTCACATTCTCATGGCTTTGTTTTGCAGTGTTTTTCAAGTTATTTTGTCACAGTTCTGAAAGATATAGTTAGCTGAATGGTTTCAGTGTACCATATTGTTAGCTCCCCAAGTGTTTGTCTCCAGTTTTACAGAATGCAAAAGAATATGCAATCCTTCCTTTGACCAGCTCTTATTCAATTCTTGGTTGATGAATTCTGAAATGCAGCTTCAGAAAATGCAACTTTGAAAGAATTCAGATAATATTTGTTCTTTATTCAATTTTGGGTTCATTGTAATCTTTTTACAGATATGGGAATTTTATTTTTTTTCTGTTGGTCAGCTTTCATTAAAAAATTCATTGGCACCATCTTTGAAGCAGACAGGAGAACTATCGAAAGAGAAAAGTGTACATGTGGAATTAGATCACGCACCTTGAAATATACAATAAATGTTCTTAGATGATAGTTTTCTCCAAAAATGTCAGCCATTTTTTCAAGGTAAGGGACTGTACTGTTGGTCTGTTAGAATAGCAAGTAACACTCTGATATGTTCAAATTGAAAGTTCTTTTTTGTTCCTATATGTCTCCAATGGACCCCTGGACATAGCTATAGACGTCTGTTGGTGTCTCCATGTCTTATTGCATTCTATCCATCCACAGAAGTTACTGTTGTTCATATGAGATATCGACCCTTGAAGATCTGGGTTAAAATTGATCTTCAGAAAGATGCCTGTCATAAGAGTTGACTAGATGGATTGGGTAGTCAGGCTTGCTGTCTTGGTTGACATGTCATTGTTTCCTGATCGTGTAGATAGATGATCATGCTGTTGATCACTGGATTGTTTGGTCCAGACTCGATTTTTACAAACCGCCGCTATATAGCTGGAATATTGCTGAGTGCGGCGTTATAAAATAACAAAACCAACCAACATGAAATATGATTTCCAAACCCTGTTGCTGAGTGAACAGCTGTGTTAGAAACTGTTTGGCAGATGTCATGTTGCAGGTAACAATGGCAATCATCTTCCATATATGCTTGCTGTGCTGTATGAAATCATGTCTGCTGTGCTGTCAAAATCATATCTGACCGTACTCACTACATAAATTCGGAATACAACCTCCTCCCTTCAGGCCGCCGCTACAAAGTTCCAATTGTGAAAACTAAGAGAGCCCGTACATCCTTTATTCCAAGTACCATATCTCTCTTAAACAAATGTGAAGATACCTAAATCAAAGAATTTATGTAAATATGTTTGGTATCTCTCTAATGTGTCAGTTGCTCTGCTGATGTAACACAAATTCCTGAAAAGGCATTAAAGTATTATTCTATTCTATTCTATTCTATTCTATTCTATTCTATTCTATTCTATTCTATTCTATTCTATTCTATTCTATTCTATTCTATTCTATTCTATTCTATTCTATTCTATTCTATTCTATGTGTTCAAGATAAGGGTGTATCAATGTATGTACGGCTAAAAATATGCAGATATGATTGAATGTAAAATAACTAGCATATCATGTATGGGAGTATCAAATATAAAGATATTAATACCCATGTTTGTGCTGGCAGACCAAGGATAATACAATTAATTTTGAGGCATGGCAATGCTGTACTCCAACAAAGCCGGAATTCTACTCCTATATTGCTCTTCAGCTTTTTTCCTGAGGTTAAAAACGTATCTGGAACACTGGTAATAATGCTAATCAAAGAAACAAACCTATTTCCATACTCATAAGAAATCTGTTGGTCTGGGTCTGTTGGTGAGAGTAAGTTTGGTTTTATGCCACTTTTAGCAATATTCCAACAGTATCACCAGAAAGGGGTTTCACCCATTGTACCCTGGTGGAGAATTAAACCTGGGTCTTCACTGTGACAAGCAAATGCTTCAACCATTAGGCTAACCCACCGTCCCAAGACTCTGTTATGATTCCAGCTCTATCATAAGCATCGGTATATGAACCACTTTCAGCTTGTGATGACCCCAGTTATGAGCCAATACTTGTTCTCTAGATTATATGATCATACCTCACTTTACCATAAGCTTTTTGTCTTCCTTCCCCAGGAACACCTGTTTGATCATACCTCACTTTACCATAAGCTTTTTGTCTTCCTTCCCCAGGAACACCTGTTTGATCATACCTCACTTTACCATAAGCTTTTTGTCTTCCTTCCCCAGGAACACCTGTTTGATCATACCTCACTTTACCATAAGCTTTTTGTCTTCCTTCCCCAGGAACACCTGTTTGATCATACCTCACTTTACCATAAGCTTTTTGTCTTCCTTCCCCAGGAACACCTGTTTGATCATACCTCACTTTACCATAAGCTTTTTGTCTTCCTTCCCCAGGAACACCTGTTTGATCATACCTCACTTTACCATAAGCTTTTTGTCTTCCTTCCCCAGGAACACCTGTTTGATCATACCTCACTTTACCATAAGCTTTTTGTCTTCCTTCCCCAGGAACACCTGTTTGATGTCAGTGACCTGCAAGGGGATCCCCCCCTGATCTCCAAATGTGGAAGTCTGGAGGTCAGCTTCAAGTATGAAGCCAAGCGTGGTAAGATGAGCGTGACCATCCACCAGGCCCGTGAGATCCCAGCCAAGGACCGCGGTGGTGCTAGCAATGTCCAAGTTCGCATGATGCTACTACCTACCAAGAAACAGAAGTTCAAGACCAAAGTGAAAACAGGAGAAAATCCCACCTTTGATGAAAACTTCTCATTCAGCAAAATCTTTCCAGGTAAATGTTTACAGTTTTCTGTGGAGTATTATTCAATGTCAGTACAACCTGCAGACCTGTTGTGAATAATGTTCAGTAGGGCGCAATCTACTGTTCTGTGCAAAAAAGGGGAGGTGGGGTAGCCTAGTGGTTAAAGCGTTCGCTTGTCACACGGAAGACCTGGGTTCAATCCCCATATGGCTACAATGTGTGAAGCCCATTTCTGGTGTACCCCACCATCATGAAATTGCTGGAATATTGCTAAAAGCAGTGTAAAACTAAACTAAACTCACTCACTCACTCATAAAAGGTGACTAACGTGTTCGAGTTGTTGACACATGTCATCATATCCCAATTGCGTAGATCAATGCTCATTCTGTTCATCACTGGATTGTCTGGTCCAGGCTTGAATATTTACAGACAGGCCATATAGTTGAAATATTGCTGAGTGCAGCATTAAATATCAAACAAAATATGCAACATAGCATCATAAAATACAAAAATCAACAAAATACAAGCATACTTTTATTGAAAATGAGGGATCGTGTATGTGCTGGCAGTATGCTTTGTTAAGGATCAATGAAGTGTGAGTGAGTGTGTGATTTAATATTTAATGTCACATTGGCAATATTTTAGCCATATCGTGACGAGAACTGCTATGACATTGATAAAGAACAAATGTCGTCAATTAGATTATCACAGTTAGATTTGTAACTAGCATTTGATATTAAAATAATAGCACTATATGCACAATACACAATATGAAAACAGGCTATAGATCACCAGCAACTGAAGATAGATCACCATACTTGGGACCATGGGGACTTACAGTACTTTTGCTTCCTACATGGACCCTAGCTGGTTTTGTATCGTCCCTTCAGATGTTGGCAATTGTGCTCAAATTTAGCCATCACTTAAAAACACAAATATCCTACGATTAAAAACTAGCAAAGTTAAATTTAGTTTGACTATTTTAAACTTACGTACCCACTGATCAATAAATAGATGGGCGTATATAGCATCATTTTTAAAGGTTTATACTGTGAGGCAACCTTATACATGGGGTATGGACAGTGGTATACAGTATGTGTCCTTGTCACTCCAGATGATGTCCATGGAATGGGCATCCGAGTGAGACTGTACGGACTGGAACGTATGCGACGTGAACGGATGATTGGAGAAAGCATCGTGGGCTTTGCATCTCTGAACCTGGATGAGGAGACCACTCACTGGATGGTGCTGGAGCCCAGGAGCAACCTCAGTGTAAGTTCCATTAACTACCATATGCTAGGTTACAATTGATCTTCACCAACCCACTTGTCGGAAAAGGTGACTAGCGAGATTGGGTAGTCAGGCTTGCTGACTTGGTTGATGCATATCATTGTATCACAATGCTGTGATGTCTGTCACCAGATTGTCTGAACCAGACTCAATTATTTACAGTGCTGTCATTTAACTGGGATATTATTGAATGTGGCATTAAACAAAGAAAGCAACATATACCTGCTCCAGGAAGGACGTCTCCCAATACAGTCTCAACACTATGATTGTGATAAATCTATGTTTAAATATTTCAGGTTTGATTGCCTTAACACTAAGATTGCCATGCTAAACAGTTCTACATCTATAGAGGTGATGGGTTCAAAGCTAACGGCACTGTCACATTTAAACCCTGAACAGATTGAAAGCCTTGTATTAGGTATTCCTGGATCTATACAAGATAGCTAATGGTCCTATTCATTATTGATAAAGCTATTATCCTTACAGCAATGAGTTTGGCAGAGCTTTTACAAAGAAGCTTGGTTGTTTATCCTTCCTCCTGTTTGCTTCCCAATTGTAATCCACTTAGAATCCCAGAACCTTTCTTCATGTACCATCTACCTGGCCAAGCAGTGTCGGATATTTCAAGATTTCAAGTTTAGTTACAAGGAAGAACAAGATCAGATATTGCTGAAAACAGGGTTGTACTAGCTTGTTTACTCAAAAGCCCTTCAAGTCCAGTGGTGTCCCAAGATCTGACATTTTATTACTTCTTAAGGCCAGACCAATTTTATTTCTTGTTTTATGGATTTTTGTCCTCAGAAAACCTAAAGGCAGGAGGTATTTTCTTTTCTTTAAATAGCCTGTCAAAGTAATATTCCTTCTAAATGCTAAAATTATTTTACTTTTGGCAATTTATGAAGTGTATGTGGGGCAAAAACAATCTAAACAACATTTTCTTGTAAGTTTACATTTTTGGCCAATACAAACATTAGGATTTTATTTTTTGAGTTGGGAATTTTTTTTTCTGTTTTTTCTTACTCTTGAAAAAATAGGACCGTCAGATTCGTAAAACAAGAAATAAAATTGGTCTGGCCTAATAAACTTAGCATTAGTCACATGTTTCTGGTGCGGAAAGTGTCTTCATGAAACACTGCACAATTGTATTAGGGAGGCAATTTAATCAATTAAGCAATATGTGACGGTCTTTATATGAATAGCTTGCATGATGCCATTGTAATGATATTAAGATATGCTACTGTATAATTGATACGGTGATGTCACTGAGAGTTCTCCAGGCATTGATTCCATCTCTCTGGAAGAGGATAACTTTTTGTTGAAGTTGGATGTAGAGCTTCCAGAACACACATGATTCATGGAGTAATCTGTATTCAAGTCAGTGTGGGCTGGTGGGTAGCCAAGTGGCTAGAGCGTTCGCTCAGCATGCCGAGGACCCAGGTTCAATTCCCTACATGGGTACAATGTGAAAGCCCGTTTTTGGTTTCCCCACCCTGATATGGCTGGAATATTGCTGAAAGCAATGTAAAATGTTACTCAAGCTAGAGTGGACACCTACTTGTGCAACATGGTCACCATGATGAGTGTCTAGGGTTGGAAGATCCAGTAAGCATATTTTTTCAAACTAACGGCAGCTACACTAAACAGTAGTGTAAGGTATAGTGTGTACAGAGAGCATGAAAGGTCGTTGGATCAAGAGAAATATAACAGTGTGCAACAGTTTTACTGCATACAAGTCAGGCTTTGGTCTTCAAAGACCTAAGTATCAAAATACTTTTGTCCTTCAACTTATGACTTTGGCAAAAATAGTCTGGTAATTAAGAAAAAGAAGGTAAAACTAATTGCCTAATTGTAAATAGTGTCAATAATTTCATACCATTATTACCCTGAGGTACACTTGCTTATGTGTCGGATCTGGGTTAGAACTGGTCTTCAGCATAGCATGTTTGTTGTAAGAGGTGACCAATGGGATCGGGTGGTCAGGCTCGCTGACCTGGTTGATGCATGTCATTGGTTCTGATGAGTAGATCGATGCTCATGATGTCAATCTCTAGATTCAAGTTCTGGCTCAGTTATTTACCTACTGCTGTCATATAGCTGGAATACTGCTGAATGTGGCAACCAAAAATAAACAGTAACTATTCTTTGTCCTTTAGAGGAAGACTTGTGAAATACCTGTATGTTCGTGAAGTCTCAGAAATGCTTTAACTGTTCTTGACCTCTGGCATAACCTTTCCGACCATTCCATGATTTGTATGCTTGCTGTTTGTCAACTGATGTAAACTGAATGTGGTGTTTCAGGGCAAGGGAGGTTTTGTATGTATCCATTCCAACACTATAGTTAAAGATACAATAGATGTGTACCATCTAGAGTCTTAGCATCTCCCTACAACATCCTGTGCACCAACTCCGCTTGTCCCTGTACTGGCACCATGAAACAGTCTCTATACTGGCACCATGAAACAGTCCTTATACTGGCACCATGAAACAGTCCCTATACTGGCACCATGAAACAGTCACTATACTGGCACCATGAAACAGTCACTATACTGGCACCATGAAACAGTCCCTATACTGGCACCATGAAACAGTCACAATACTGGCACCATGAAACAGTCTCTATACTGGCACCATGAAACAGTCACTATACTGGCACCATGTCAATACTGGCACCATGAAACAGTCCTATATGGCACCATCAAACGGTCACTATACTGGCACCATGAAACAGTCCCTATACTGGCACCATATCACTATGCTGGCACCATGTCCCTATAAAGGCAAACAGTCCCTATACTGGCACCATGAAACAGTCACTATACTGGCACCATGAAACAGTCCCTATACTGGCACCATGAAACAGTCAAACAGTCACTGATACTGGCACCATGAAACAGTCACTATGCTGGCACCATGAAACAGTCACTATACTGGCACCAAACAGAAACTGGCAGTCACCATGAACTATACTGGCACCATGAAACAGTCCCTATACTGGCACCATGAAACAGTCACTATACTGGCACCATGAAATAGTCCCTGGCACCATGGAAACAGTCAAACTATACTGGCACCATGAAACAAACAGTCTATACTGGCACCATGAAACAGTCTATGCTGGCACCATGAAACAGTCCCTATACTGGCACCATGAAACAGCCACTATACTGGCACCATGAAACAGTCACTATACTGGCACCATGAAACAGTCACTATACTGGCACCATGAAACAGTCACTATACTGGCACCATGAAACAGTCACTATACTGGCACCATGAAACAGTCACTATACTGGCACCATGAAACAGTCACTATACTGGCACCATGAAACAGTCCCTATACTGGCACCATGGCAAACAGTCACTATACTGGCACCATGAAACAGTCACTATACTGGCACCATGAAACAGTCACTATACTGGCACCATCAAACAGTCCACCATGAAACAGTATACTGGCACCATGAAACAGTCACTATACTGGCACCATAAACAGTCTGGCTGGCACCATGAAACAGTCACTATACTGGCACCATGAAACAGTCCCTATACTGGCACCATCAAACAGTCCCTATACTGGCACCATCAAACAGTCCATTATACTGGCACCATCAAACAGTCCCTATACTGGCACCATCAAACAGTCCCTATACTGGCACCATCAAACAGTCCCTATACTGGCACCATCAAACAGTCCCTATACTGGCACCATCAAACAGTCCCTATACTGGCACCATCAAACAGTCACTATACTGGCACCATCAAACAGTCACTATACTGGCACCATGAAACAGTCCCTATACTGGCACCATCAAACAGTCCCTATACTGGCACCATGAAACAGTCACTATACTGGCACCATCAAACAGTCACACCATATACTGGCACCATCAAACAGTCCCATATGCTGGCACCATCAAACAAACAGTCCCTATACTGGCACCATCAAACAGTCCCTATACTGGCACCATCAAACAGTCCCTATACTGGCACCATCAAACAGTCCCTATACTGGCACCATCAAACAGTTCCTATACTGGCACCATCAAACAGTCACTATACTGGCACCATCAAACAGTCCCTATACTGGCACCATCAAACAGTCCCTATATACTGGCACCATCAAACAGTCTCTATACTGGCACCATCAAACAGTCCCTATACTGGCACCATGAAACAGTCATCTGGCAAAAACAGTCTCATATACTGGCACCATCAAACAGTCCCTATACTGGCACCATGAAACAATCCCTATACTGGCACCATCAAACAGTCTCTATACTGGCACCATCAAACAGTCTCTATACTGGCACCATCAAACAGCTTGACATCAATGTCAATATAAGGTGTCCACTGGTCTCGAGGGACATATATTGATCAGCCCACCGTGATAGTTTATGTTCCTGGCATCCTCGGTCAGTTTATGTTCCCATAAAACACAAACTAGCATAGGGGGAATATCACCTCATGTTACCCAAGGGACCAATGGACAACCAGTTTATCCTACCGCACTCCTAAATATACTGCAGGTTTGTCTTATGCATGCACACTTTAGTCTGAATTTGAAACTACTACAATGCCTGTGAGGATTTTAAAGCAGAGCATGGAAAACAGTGATTACACAGTGTCCTTTAGAAAGTGGTCAAATGCAACATGGTTATATTAAGGATTACATAGTTTCATTGAAGTACAGATTCTGGTATTCTGGATTGAATATCACACAGAATATGAAGCCACTCCCTCAGAGTGGGGCACCTAATCGCTCCAGTCCTATAGGTACTGGAATCTGGATTTTCCTGAGGGAGTGTAATCGCTAATAAAACATGTTACACAGAAAACAAACTTAAGAGTTAATCCCCCTAGATTTATTTTATTTAGAAATTAAAATGTCATATCTGGAAAATGGTTGCTTACATTAATTTGAGATTCAGTATCGTGGTTGGTAAGTTTGAATGTAACAACAGCAGTTCCGGCAGTGGAGGATTAAGTCATTAGAAATGTACTTTACACATTAACAGAGTACATGGAACAAAATATATTGGGAATGACAGGAATAACAAGTCTTTATGGATGATAGCTTTTTTATTGTACAAAAGCGCGGTTTCGGTTTAGATACTTATACCGTTTTCAAAATATATTGGGTATCAGCCAATCAGAATGTGCCATTCATGTGAAAGGTAAGATGATATGTCATGTTTCATTCAGTCCAGCACTGCCGCTCCTGAGTATGAGTTCCTAACTACAGTTCTAAAACTACAAAGGGTATATAGATGTTGCACATCAGTATGTTCTCATGGCCTACACAATTTCAGGGCTGACTTGGCGATTTCGGAATGCTAGGCTTATTGACAGGTTAATTTGCAAAGTCCTCACGTTCAAACAGCCTCCACTGCATGCATGAGAGATGGCTAAATCCAAGCTCCAGCATTCTTAACTTCTTTTGAATAGTATTAATAATTCATGTGTCAAAAAATTCAGATCAGAATTAAAACAAACATTTTGATCAGCTTGGAAACAAATGTCACGTAAATGTCATCATTGTTTTTAAACAGATGATATTTCATGACAGTCACAAAACAAATTCAAGTTTTCCAGTTTTTCATGAGGGAACTTTGGGAAAGTTATCAATATGAAATGTGCATGAATATGAAGTTCAGTACCGGATCAGTTTTCATGATTCTGGTCTTCCTGTCATTTACTGTTTGAACAGGCGTCTAATCATCGAACTCAAATAAGGTAACTATGCTGAAATTGGAGAGCAGCTGTGAAAGTGAAAAACGGAAATGCAAAAGAAATAAACAGAAGAACTTGATCTCTAGGACTTAGATCTGTATCATGTGTTATTGACAACCCCACCCCCAAATGTATTTTATGGCACAGGCTTCTCCTCCCATCACAATCATTCACACTCACACACATATACATGACCCCACCCCTATTTTAATCAATCCATGAATAATGTTCACTTTTATCATTCTTTTATTTTAAAATTTAAATAAAATAGAACTGAAGCGCAATAGAGCACTCATTTTGTTCAACCTTCCCCATGTTCTTGAAATCTTGTGCAGACTCTCATGTATGTATCTAGGAGGTGTATTACATCGTCACAGCACCCTTCTCACCTGCATGTGGCTTCCCTTTGTTGCCAGGCAACATACACGCCTCAAACATGCAGAAAACCATTCATTGATCAGTCTACTCGCTTCAGGCATCTCAACCCACAGCTTACAGCCTCTCAAGTCTTTGGTAGTCAAACTTTGCTTATATAATATCATGTTCAACTTTCCTAACCATACACCCAGTTGTATGCAGTTCTGTTGACTGGGAGAATGTGTTCTGTACAACTTATTCAAACTGTGCAGATGATGCCGGATTAATGATCCTTATTTGATTCACTGATTGGCATGTAGAACTCTTACCATCTGACTATGTTTTCTGCTGAATCGACTTCAAGTCACAATTCCATAGCACTCCAGTAGGCTAGCATTATATATAATACCACAATGCTTTCCTTTCTTGTTTTTTCGACTTCTAGAAGCTTTGTACTAAATAGTGTATCAAGTTCAGTAACTTTATCTATTGGTTTAAAACATTCATTAATAAATTTTACACAGATAATAATTTAATACAGTAAAGATCTTACTGATAGAGGTAATGTTTAGACATCTTTATGTAGAGTTAACTATTAATTTTGTTGTTTGTTATTTTGCTGTGGATCGTGCGTGAAATCTGAAGGATGTTGTTTGATGCCTTCCATGTGATGTATTCCAGCATGGGGACTCTGGTTTTGATGTGTCCAGCTTGTCGAGGAGCGACAGTGCTTCCTCCACACAGTCTCTACAACACGGCGGAATGCCCGAGCTGCTCATTGGGCTGGCGTACATGGCACGACTGGTCGGCTCTCCGTGGAGGTCATCAAGGGAAGTAACTTCCGCAACATGGCCATGAACAGGGCTCCAGGTGGGTTTGTTTGATTATGTAACAAAAGTTATATTTGGGATTACACTTTTTCAGTAAAGTACAGATTACAGTACTTTTATTAGGTTGAATCCAATCAGGGATTCAAACCCACAGTCTCAGTGTCCGGTGCTTAATTGCCATCACACAAAGGCAACGATCTAACCCACTCAGCCACCACACGACTTCAAATCAAGAGAGAGAGATTGAAAGAGAGGGAGAGAGAAAGGAGGTCAAAGCTTACAATGGTTTAACATTGCTTCGAACTTATCTATGAAGTAGTGTTCTTTTAAAATTTGCCATGTCCTGATTGACCAATGGTTTTGTTGCAGACACATACGTGAAGTTGACGTTGATGTCACCGACGGGGCAGGAGCTGCAGCGGTGCAAGACCTCGGTGAGGCGTGGTCAGCCAAATCCACTGTTCAAGGAGACGTTCATGTTCCAGGTGGCTCTGTTCCAGCTCCCAGAAGTGACACTTATGGTGTCTGTCTACAACAAGAAGAGCATGAAGAAGAAAGAAATGATTGGATGGTTCTCATTAGGTAACATGTCCCTTCAGTTTAATATGCCTGTATTCAGGGATAGATCTCGAGATGGAGCAGTATCTGGATTATGCTGCTATGCCAGACTGTCAGGTGTTGTCCAAGTAGGGTAGGATGCTAATGGAGTCAACAAATGTTGTCTAAATATGGTATGGTGCTAAGAGAGAGTCAGGTGTTGTCCAAATACTGTTAATCACGAAATCTTTGCAAGCATGATATTTTTGCGAAAATGCGCTCGCAAAAATATCATGACGCAATTTGCTGGTCAATTGCAATAAACAATCAACAAATAACGTGTCTCATTATCTCCTTATTATTAAACAGTTCATATAATCAAGTACTCTACTGAGCTCAGTTCAAGGATAGCAGCAACCTTTAATATGTGATTGGATTTACTTTAGGTAGAACTTTCAGTTGTAATTTATTTTTGAGAATTGGGCAAGTCACAAAAATATCATGACGCATAATTGTCTGTTGGTCACCACTCGCAAAAATATCGTGATGCAAAAAATTCGTGATGTACAGTATTTTGGTGGCAGAGACGGGTGTTTATCTAAATATGGCATGGTCGTCTGAGACCTGGATCACTTCGGGGTCTCCTCAAACATTAAGCTGGCACATTGTAATACTAGAATACTGATCAAAGCAGCATTTGCCAAAAACTCACTCACTCCTTGAGAGATTGTCAGATGATTCTCAATGAGGCCAGATAGGGATTTGCATGACATCCACCATTATTGGGGCTGGGATCTGTCAGTTCACTGGAATATGTGCCTTAAATATTTGAAACAAATTCTTCAAATGGCAAGGCTAGATTGTGCATATTTCAGTGCATGTCTGAACCGACCCCTGCAGATCCAGGTTCGAATTGGTCTTCAACGCATTCTTGTCATAAGAGGCAATGAATGGGATTGAGTTGTCAGGCTCACTGACTTGGTTGACACATGTCATCATATCCCAATTGCATCAATCGATGCTCATGCTGTTGATCACTGGATTGTCTGGTCCAGACTCAATTACTTACAGACCGCTGCTGAAATATTGCTGAATGCAGCGTAAAAAAACAAACAAACAAAATGCATGTCTGTACCAGAGAGAATTGTTCGTTTCAGGCATGAACTGCAGCGGGGAAGAAGAGGGTTCTCACTGGTCCGACATGAGGGAGAGTAAAGGAGAGCAAGTGTGTCGATGGCACGTGTTACTGGAGTCATAGCCAGGCAGCGTACAGCACCACCTACAGACACCAGCTTGGATGGACACGCCCACGGACAGCACTCACCACTCATACCATACATTGCCTCAAGAGTACAATTTGCAAATAGTACAATACACATTAGGCCTTATGTATTGTTTTAGTTGGTTTACGATTTCAGCTGACAAAAATCTGAAATTGAAATTGAAATAGAATAATTTTTGACAAATCATATTTGGACCAACTTTTTTATGATAGCGTGAAATTGAAAAAAATACAGACTTTATTATATCATGTTCGGAAGAAATGGTACGTAACACATATAATAATCTTTATTCTACCAATATAAAATATAAACTGTCTCATGGTTTTTGTTTTTTTCTGACTGTGCGACCATTTAGTATGTTTTTTATATAGTAGTAGCTGTACTAGTAATCTTAAAATAATCAAATAATATCTTGATATTGTACAATACATTGTTAGCCAAAATATTGTAAACTAACTAATACAAAAATTAAAGGCCTTACATAGACGTGAAGAACAATGAACACACTGCACATTTGCAAATCTGCTTAGGCATTTTGAGACAAGTCATGTTAAAGAGAATTCTTAGCTTGGCTCATCACCAAATAGCTGTGAGTGAACGTGGAAACAAATCAAAATATGGATATAGAAGCAAGCTGTTATCGCCATTCCTGAATTGTGTAATTCTGGTGAGAATACCCTATGTAACTGTTATGTACAGATGAAACATTGTTCTGAACACTAGAACATTAATCTGAGAACTGAAACATTGTTCTGAGAACTGAAACATTGTTCTGAGTACTGAAACATTGTTCTGAGAACTGAAACATTGTTCTGCATACTGAAACATTGTTCTGAGAACTGAAACATTGTTCTGAGTACTGAAACATTGTTCTGAGAACTGAAACATTGTTTTCTGAGAACTGAAACATTGTTCTGAGTACTGAAACATTGTTCTTAGTACTAGAACATTTTTCCAAGTACTGAAGCATTGTTCTTAGTTGTCAAACATTGTTAAGAGAACTGAAACATTGCTATTAGTGCTGAAACATTGTTCCAAGTACTGAAACAAGGTAGAGAGACCATAGAAAAGTGCTAGTTGACATATTGAGGACTCTGTCATGGAGCTGTATTGTACATGGGTGGCGTTCACACCCTGGCTCTGCCACCCGCTGGGTGCATGATGCTGTCTACTCTCAAGAACCTCTGTACATTTTGTAATGTTTCAACATGTGTAAACCGTATTTCTTGTTGTATAGTTTACTTTTCAATTATTGACATTGACAACTGGCAATATAAGATGTACTTTATTCTGCTCTTACTGTCGCACCCACTGGTCTCACCAGATATTGTTCTGGCCTCTTCCACAAAACTGTCTTAGCGCTACAGCAGTTGTGTTTTAATCACCTTAGCGCTAAGATCATCTTGTGAATGGGGCCATGTATGTTAAAGATGTAAAAAAAGATCTGAGTTGTTTATTCCACACGGAGACAGGAGAGGATGCATGAGTTTTCCGGTCACTGTTTTCATTTTATGTCAGCCCAGAAAGTAATGACAGATTTACATATACTACTCAAATGAAGGTTAAATTTCACTGTTTTGTACAACTACAGTTTGTCTATCAAGACCATGACAAATAAGTCAGTGGTCATTTGACGTGTAACGATATGAGGAGCCAGTGATACGATACATATCCTAATAAAATATTGAGTTCATCTTTTCACCCTTTCTACAGGTAAATCACAAACCTGAATTGTTAAATTTCAAACTTCAGACAGCAAAGATGGGGTATTGTAGGGGAGAAATATGATAATCTTTGGGACACTCTGCAGCTTCTGCTGTTTATAGGCAGACAGGAAATAATTGAGAAACTGTCGCTGGAGTGGTAATGGAAGCCACAACATGACATACTACTTTGTGGTACTTAACATGTTTTGGGGCATTTCATTCCTAAGAGTTAGAGTGCAACCATCCAACAAATAGAACAAAAACAAAATTAATAATGGTGTTTTGCTTGTTCTGTCATGTGCTTCAAAACACCCTCCCCTCTCGATACCAGGATCCCAAAAATGGGATGCGATATTTCCTCTTCAAATTCATACTTGCGAAAAAAATTATAGAAAATTAACTCTTGATACTTTCATTGTGAGTCAAATATGTTGTGATAAAAGTATTTTGACTTAAAAAAAATATTTGGTATCTAATGGGTTAACTAGTTATTCAACAGTTTCTAGTATTTGTTTTTTTACATCAGTATAGCTATGTATTGTATGTATTGCAAAACAGGAGTTGTAAATCAACTGATCGTATTGTGAGCCGCGTATCGTGATACAATACTGTATTGCTGTATTGTTGCACCACAACACAGTCAGTGTACTTTAACCTCTTTGAGTAGTATATTTATGTATGTTTCATTAGTTATCTTTGGTATGGACATTTAGATGCATGTTGTTTTCGCTTACACCAAACTGTTCAAGTTAACACTGAACTGATAATGCTGGCTTGTGTAGTTCATGCAGAATTCATGTACGGCTGCATTATTCATGCCCTTGTATTCAGACAGAACTCTTTTAAATATTGATGGGGCATTGTAGTAAACACTCCCTCTGTGATTTCAGGAGAGATCATTGAACAAAACATGTATGCAACAGCTATTTCTTGAGAATGTTTGCTCGGCGGGAAAAGGGAGGTAACTCTGACAAGACACTGGCAGTCAGATGATGACGCGTATAACAATACACTTGCCACAATCAGTTATTAGAGCACAATGGTGAACAGAAGTATATTTGTTCAACACATGATTTCTAGTGAATCCAGTGTTTGGACACAATTGTTTTCACGCAGACAGTGTTTTTATTATGTTCAGTTAAAACTAGCTGCATTCATCCTGTCTTCTGATTGATGACAACATGGAAATCAGACCTTAGGGAATGGTTGTTAATGGCAGGAGAAAATTAGTGGATAAGTATGGTCTTCGGACTGAATCATACTTGGTGGTGGGGGTGTCAGTTGTTCATGTTCACTCCTCTCTCTCTCTCTCTCTATCTTGTTCTCTCTTTATCTTGCTCTTTCTCTATCTCTCATGCTTTGTCTTTTGCTGTCTCTTGCTCCATCTCTCATGCTCTATATCTCTCCCATTCTCTCTTGTTCCACCTCTCTTGCTGTCTCTCTCTTTCCTTCTTGTTCCATCTCACTCTCTACTCTCTCTCTCTCCTCTTTCTCTCTCTGGTCTCTCTCTCTCTCTCTCTCTCTCTCTCTCTCTGGTGCTGTATCTGTCACAGTCTCTTTCTCACTCTCTATCTCTGTCAGTGTCTCCCTCCCTATTGACCAATCCCCTGGCTTCTGTACTATGCTAGGGAGAGAACCTTGCAGCATCCCCTCACCACAGATCTCAGACACCTATGCCTGCCTGTTTTCCCTGCATGATAACGTTGTATTGCTAACCTCTACATGAGAACTAAGCCTGCTGTTACATGTGAAGGTGCCATGTATATATATATACTGTTAAACATGTACAGTCCCATGTTGTGAGGCCACACTCAAGTCAGTGTTGAACTTGTTATTCCTTGATAACATTACCGATGTTTTGGTTGTGATGGACTATGTTGGTGATACGTGAGCAAAGCTAACTCTGTTGACATTGTGCTGTTGTGATTTGAAGGATGGTGACATTCACTGGGGGTTTGGTCGAGTGCTTTCTTAATGCTACTGCATTATCCAGCTTGTGTACGGCCAGCCTTCCAGATGCTCAGGTTCTAAGCTGACCAAGCCATCTATGGCACGGCAATTCTGTAATTCTATTGGGTATGCCATGTAAATTCACACAGATTATATGTTTCTAGATTTCTCCAAAGCGGTAAATATAGTAGACCTACATCAGCGACTTTCTCGGACATTAAACTGACATGCCTTTATATTGCTGGAATATTGTTTAGAAAAGCATGTAACCAAGTTTAATCACAGCCACATAGAGTAGTGTTGTTCAGATGGCCTCCAAAAGTCACTTTCACCATGAAGCTCCTGTAAAATATCACTTCTGCAGTTACTCCCATCTTCGGAGTACTAACTGCAAGTGATGGCCTCAGTTGAAATACGTTCCCCATAATCCAATTACATTCAATTTTGTCGTGGTACTTTCGTGATTTTTGCTAAAGAATCAAATGAAATATGTTTAGTACAAAGTTGTTTTTGTTATCTACTACTGTACTGAAATTCCTGATAGAAAGCGTGTTTCACTGTTACTGGGGCAAAAGAAAAATATAATCAGAGTCTTAAAGGGAGCAACCATTAGCTGTTCAAAGAGGAGGGGATTTAGGTTTAACATATGCATGTTGTTTTTTTCACTATTTAAGAGCTCAGTACATTTTTTCAAACATAAACATACCTAAATGTTGTTGCTTTATTTAAATAAATACAAATAACAACCTCTTTTATTTGGATAGTTGTCCAGAAGAAAAGGTCACATCAGTATTTTTCCTGTAATATGAGGCATATATAAATTATTGCTATTTGCAGGTGGACTTGTTTCTATTCCCCGCAAAAAAAACATGCACAAATCAAATGGTTGTACCATCATATGTCAAACATGTGCCTATTTATCTGTAAGGCAAGTAATTTTATTACTGTTATGTGTTGTTTAGTCCATGACACAATTACCAGATGGTCTGTGATGTCAAAATGTTATATAGGAACAACTATGATCTCAAAACAAAGAATACTAATGTCACGTATTACAATGAACCACCGACATATGATATATTCAGTTGGTTTTGACATTGTTGACACCATTGTAAGATTGTTGATATATCTGTACAACTAGTTAGAGGAGTCTGCTGTACCAAGCATTCCTTCAGCTGGTGGATACATGGAATACCATTTCAAATGTTTTGCTCCTATTTTTAGTCATCTAGTGGGTTAGGGTTTGAGAGTACCCATAGCTGCTGCTTATTATCAGAACTAGGATTTCCTCGTCACTGAGTTGTATGCTGCCTCGGCACTAGGATTTCCTCGTCACTGAGCCATATTCTGCTTCAATGCTAGGATTTCCTTGTCACCGAGCCATATTCTGCCTCAATACTAGGATTTCCTCGTCACCGAGTCATATTCTGCCTCAATACTAGGACTTCCTCGTCACCGAGTCATATTCTGCCTCAATACTAGGATTTCCTTGTCACCGAGTCATATTCTGCCTCAATACTAGGATTTCCTTGTCACCGAGTCATATTCTGCCTCAATACTAGGATTTCCTCGTCACCGAGTCATATTCTGCCTCAATACTAGGATTTCCTTGTCACCGAGTCATATTCTGCCTCAATACTAGGATTTCCTTGTCACTGAGCCATATTCTGCCTCAATACTAGGATTTCCTCGTCACCGAGTCATATTCTGTCTCAATACTAGGATTTCCTCGTCACTGAGTCATATTCTGCCTCAATACTAGGATTTCCTCGTCGATGAGTCATATTCTGCCTCAGTACTAGGATTTCCTCGTCACCGAGTCATATTCTGTCTCAATACTAGGATTTCCTCGTCACTGAGTCATATTCTGCCTCAATACTAGGATTTCCTCGTCGATGAGTCATATTCTGCCTCAGTACTAGGATTTCCTTGTCACCGAGTCATATTCTGCCTCAATACCAGGATTTCCTCATCACTGAGCCCTATACTACCACGGTTTTGCATGTTATAGCT